GTTTCTCATCAATGTTTCTATATCTCTCTCTCCTTCTCCTTCCGCTCTCTTTAAAAGTCAATGAAACATATATTTTAAAGTGGTATTTATATCATGTTATTATACCACAGAATATAATTCTGGGTGAATATCTATGTGTGTGTGTGAATGGATCTTATTTTATGTCAGAATTTTAAAGTAATCACCCTAATTCTACACATCAGTTTTACTATGGTTTTCACACCCAAGCCTCAAGCTCAGTCAGGTGAGAAGATAAACAGACCCTTCTGCACATGGCTGAGCAGCTCAGTGGCCCTGGCCATCCTACCCTCGGCTCAGATCCCAAGGGAGCCCCATGCTCAGGTCCCTCACTGTCAGGGACTCTAGGACACAGACAGGTACGGGAAGCCCAGCATTGGTGGGAATCCCACACTGGGACACCCCCCAGCACTTGCCCCCCCCAGCCCCCAGCCCAGCAGACCCAGCAGAAGCAGCTCAGACACAGGGAGGGGGGCAGCGCCTGTCCTGCCCGATGGGACGACCCACCCCAGTTCCATGTCTCCTCCTGGAACCACCCTCCTCTCTTGATATCTGCCCTGAGGTCGGACATAAGGAAGACCTTACCTGGCTGGTCTTTGCTCTCGAACTCTGGGCAGGGATGTGTCATTGAGGATGAGCCGGGGGCGCTGAGCCTATAGTTATAGGGACAGGGTTCCTGGACCTGATCTTCCCACAGAGATGCCATTATCATGTCACCTGAGGCGTAGGGGACACTGTCTGCGTGGAGAGTCTGGGACATCTCCAAAGAGGAGCAACTGTATCCCCACTCAAATCTCTCCTGGCCACTGTGGTGATTATTGCGAATTTGGCCATTAATTTGTCCAATAGAGAAGGGAAACCCCAGGGAGAAGGGGAGTTCCCCCACACTCCTGAGTGGGCCTGAGGGTGAGTCACTGAGTGAGCTGGCAGACTCCCCCCGTCCTGACCAGCAGAGAATTCTGACATCGATCCCATTTTGTGGGAAGCCAGCCCCTTGGATTCCTGCGCCCCCACCGGGTTTTTAGGAAGCCAGCCCCAGGCCTGTGGGATAATCTCCTACGTCTGGTACATCTTCTAGACCTTCCTTCCTGAGGGCTGTCCTGGTCCTCACCAGCGGCTGAATGATGGGCAAGAAAAGATGACTGTTCCCTGTGGACGGATCTATGTTCTGAGTCAAAGCTGTTGTCTGGGCTGAACTGAAAGCCAAGGCTGCATCATGTTCCCCCTCCTCCATTCATTGCACAATCACACACCATTCCCAAGTGGGCACCGTCCTCAGGGCTCCCCTGGTCCCAAGGTCAGGCTGACACCAGGATGGGTGCAGGCTGAGCCTCTCCACTGGGGCAAGAGGCTGGTCTCTCCCCTGAGGGAAATGCCACGGTCCTTCCTACTGGACCCCAGGGATGTTAAGCATAGAGACCGTTCCAGGTAAGCTGTGCTAACCCGCTCAGAATCCTGGGAGTCCCCAATGTCTACACGACCCCACAGGACACCCTGAGGTGCTTCCTTAGTCACCCACACAGTCCTGCTCTTTGGTGACTCACTACACAACCGCTATATTTCTTACAGAACATTCCAGTCCTCAGCGGCCCCTCTTCAATTCTATTTGGTCACACACTGCCCCCATCCCGACTCACCCCTGACTAGATTGCCACACCACAGATGAGTTCCGTCAGCTTTTGTGAGAAGGAATGTTACAATGGCCTCCTCCCTGTAACCTGGCTCTGTCTCCACATTATGTTTCATTCTCCTCCCCGTGGCTCTTATGGTTGTAGCATATTCACACTTAGGACTACAGGGTTCTGTCCTATGAACACACACACTCCTCCTCTACTGCTCATGTGAATTTGTCTTATATGAAGATGTTGCGAACTGTGCAGGTATGAATAAGTTCTTCATATGTGTTTGCACACATTTGTGTGAGTGTCTATTGGGGATACAACCAGGAGTGGAAATGCTGGGGCATTAGGTGAGCGAATGATTGGATGTAGTGAGAGCTGCCAAGCCATTTTCAAAGTGTTTGAAACAACTTACTCTCCCACTAGGTATTTATGGGAGATACAATGAGTTCAAATTCCTACTAGCAATTGACTTTGTCTGACTCATTTTTGCTATCCTGGGTGGTGTGGAGCAATATCACATTGTGGCTGAACTTGAATTTCTCCTCTGACTAAATTTGTTGGTCAATGTTCATAAGTGTATGGACCACGTAAACATCCTCAATAGGATGTTAGACTGGACACATTGTTAGTGAGTGAGTGGGACTCTGGTAAGGTGCCTGCATCTATAACTATTAGGATCCTTTGGCTATTAATGGATCTGTGGGCAGAGACCTGTGGGATGAGAGAAAGTATCTGGTCTTTGCCCCTGGCTCCTGGCACTGAGCTCCTAAAATCCTGGGCATCTCCTGAGTGACAAGTGTCTTTGGGATGCTGATGAGATGGCTCTTGGCTGAGGGCCCTGGAGGCTTCAGGATGGGGGATGGTTCCCAGAAAGACCAAGCTGACCAGAGAATTGGAACGTTCAGGCCCTAGAAGGAGGCAAGAGCAGGAGGAGCCTGAAAATGCATCTCTCCAACCACAGAGTCCTGTGTGCAGGGACCCCTAGGTCTGTGGACAATGATGGGTAACATGTACCCTGTTGCTGCCAGATGGGGGACACCAAGAAAATGAGACCATAATTCACACACGAAAACAGTAACAGGCATAATATCTACAAAAACAATGATAAAACAAAAACCCAGAAGATGGGTGCTGGGGCCTCATCCAGGCCTGAGCCCAAGCTGACCAACCCCAGGAAGCCCTCACTGTCCAGGGTCCTGGAGATGAGCTGCATCAGGACACATGTCAAGACCTCAGGGATATCTGAGCTCCAGTGACCACAGGTCCTGGTGGGACAAGGTTCTACTGAAGGGAAAAGGTCAGAGGAGCAGAGAGGTGACCCCACCGAGGAGTGACCATGTCAAAGCCCATGATACAGTGAGCACAACCCTGAGCACAACCCCTGGGCACAGGCCCCAACCACACTCCGCCTTCAAAACATCTCCTGTCCACACTGGGACAGCTCAGCACAGCAAACACATGGGCTCTGGAAAGTTCTTGGTGTTTATATTTATTTCCCCTCAAAATGTACAATCTTCTCCTTGTGAATTTACCCACCAACCCTTCATGGCAAGAAATGAACAAAGTCGCCTCCTCAACCTCATTTCAATGCGGAAGGAACAGCTTGCAGCTCAGACCATAAGCAAGTAAAGACAGCGATAGTGAGGGCCCAGCCGGCCTCTGCTGGACCAGAAAGTGTGGGGAGCAGGGCGGGGCCATCCCCACATCAGAGGTTCTTGACTCAGGAAGTGGGAGCATGAACATCTTCCATCACTCAGTCCCCACAAGGCAGCTGCCTAACGCTGTGGAGGATAAGCATCATGAACACATTCAGGTCAGTGGCTGTAACTGGTGACATTCTCAAAGCCCACTGCATGCTCACAGTGTCCCACAGACTCCCCACCACCCAGTCCTCCCCTCTGCTCACCCATCCCCTTAGTAGGGTCTCTCCTTTAGAAGCCAAGAGAGACACATCAGAGCAATGGACAATGTCACTGCCTATAGTGCACACTCAGACCCCACACCTTCCTCACCTGAGTGCCTATTCCGCCATATCACAGCTCCAGCAACAGCTCCCAGCAGAACCAGGCCCCCAGCGATGCTCATGATGATGACAAAGGTCTGAGAAGGAGGCTCTGGGAGGAGAAGGGAAGAGAGGGTGAGGGCCCTGACCCCAGGCCTCAGCCCCGACCCCACTGAGGTCCCCCAAAGACCCTGCAGCCCTGAGAAGAGGCTCTGTGCCCACGGCCCCTCCTCACCCCATCTCAGGGTCAGGGGCTCGGGCAGCCCCTCGTGCTGTACATGGCATGTGTATCTCTGCTCCTCTCCAGGGGGCACACCCACGGCCGCCCACTTCTGGAAGGTGCCGTCCCCCGCAGGCCTGGTCTCCACCAGGACCATCCTGAGAATGGACAGACACCTGGGGTGGGGGAGGGAGCACACAGCCCACACACCAGCCAGGACAGAGGCACCTGGAAGGACCTCCTAGTCTTTAGAAAGTTCTAGAATCAGAGAGACACAGCCCTGGGCAGGAGGCAGGGCTCTGAGGGGAGAAAAGGGATTTGTGGTCCTGACCTGGGTGGAGGACACGTGACTCAGAAAAGCTAGGGTGAGACCTCAGACACAGTGGGTGTGGACAGAGCACAAGCCTGAGAGAGAAGGTCCCCGTGGGTCCCAGAGCCCCAGGAGGGCCCATGAAAACTGCTGATGGGCTATTTCAGGGGGTCTCTCTGCACCCCAGGAGAGCCTTCACCCCTAACTGTCCCTGAGAGAAGGAGGTCCCTCTGGTACCTGACCCTAACACCAATGAGGGGTGTCTGACACTGATCCCCTGTCCTGTCTCCTTATAGGAGCCCCAGCCCCGGGGAGAGGGGGTGGCCCCAGGGCCCCTGGAACCTGTGCGCAGCAGGGTCTCCTTTCCTTTTTCCAGGTGAATGCGGAGCCACTTCAAGCAGGCGCCCTGCAGGTAGTGCCTCATCACTTTCGCAAAACCTGTCGCCTCCCACTTGCGCTTAGTAATCTGAGCCACCGCATCGGCCGCGGTCCAGGAGGTCAGGTCCTCGTTCAGGGAGATGTAGTCAGCGCCGTCATAGGCGTATTGATAGTACCCGCGGAGGAGGCTCCCGTCGGGTCGCATGTAGCAGCTTCGCATGACCTGGAAGGTGTGAGACCCTGACCCCGCCCCGATGTCAGCCCGGCCCCGAGGTCAGCCCCGCACCCCTCGCCCCGCGGGGTCTTAATCAAAACTGACTGTAAA